AGAGGTTCATGGTCTCAGGCTGATCATATATATCTATCGATTAATGCCAAATATGATGTCTTTTAATAGAAATTATCTTTCAATTCACTTTACAAGTCACCAGATATTCTTTAATGAAATTAGATATAGTAGTCCCCCCCTTATCTTCAGTTTTGCTTTCCCCAGTTTCAACTACCCATGGTCAACCACAGGCAGAAAATATTAAATGGAAAATTCCAGAAGTAAACAGTGTGTAAATTTTAAATTGTGTGTTATTCTAACTAGGGTGAGGAAATCTCATGACATCCCACTCTGTCCCACCTGGGATATGAATCATCCCTTTGTCCAGAGTCTCCATGCTGTGGACCCTACTTGCCAGTTGGTCACTTAGTAACTCTCTTGATTATCAGATAAGGAAAAAAATAAAAACAAAATAAAAGCTCTTTATCTGAGAAATGCAAGCCACTTTAAATTATCAGGCCCAGAGAGGTGTTTAAAGTGTAACAAGTCATGTCTTGCTCCCCCTTGAGCTAAATAATTACCTCTTGAAGCCACTTGTGATGAAGCCTTTAGACTAACTGAGACCAAGTGGCCATACCTAAAACGCCACGCACCTATGGTTCAACAGTGTCTAGCCAATCACTAACCAATATTATTTCTGTAAACCAATGAGGATTCCTCATGAACAACTTTTGTAACTGCCCCCTCTCCTGATTTGTCCCTTTTTCTTTAAAAACTTGAGCTTCTCCTTTGATCTTCAGAGCACTATCTAAGGCAAATTGGAAGTGTGTCCTGGCACTGCAGTCCCCAACCTTGGCCCAAATAAACTCTCTGTATTAATTTTGCCTCAGCTTCTTCCTTTTTGGTCAACAAAATTGACTGTCCTGGTATCACAATGCTTGGGTTCAAGTAACCCTATTTTACTTAATAATGCTCCCAAAGAGCAAGAATAGTGATGCTAACAATTTGGATATGCCAAAGAAAAGCCGTATAGTGCTTTCTTTAAGTAGGAAAGGTGAAAGCTCTCAAATCAATGCTAAAATTGCTAAAATTTGTGATCAGAACAAATCTTCTATTTGCAAAACTGTGAAGAAGGAAAAAGAAATCCATGCATAGTAATATGGAGTTCGGTACTACTGGCAGTTTCAGGCATCCATTGGGATCTTGGAATGTATCCCCCAAAGATAAGAGGAGACAGTACAGTATTTGGGTTTACTCTATTGCCGTTTCTCTGGGAACTGCTCGTTAGATCCCTCATATGTTGGATTAAAATTATGTTCCACTGTCATGTAAATAAAGACCTCTCAAGGCAGAATGGAGCTATTGCTTTCTTTCCCAAAGAGAACTCTCTTTCTCTTAGATGAGAAGGTGCTGGACACTGTGCTTATCACCACTCTGAAAGCAAGTATGAAACTGATTGCAAAGTTGCCTCCAAAGAATGTTCCCAAACAGCAGAAAGGTTGCCCAAAGCCATCTTCCACCCTAATAGATAACAGTTTTGCTACCCTTAGAACTGAAGATATGTTAATTTGAATAGCACTATTACGGAAGAAGTTTGAACTGAGCTGACTCGCCAGTGCATTGCATGTCAAATGGGCAGCCAGAAAGGTCCACGTGGCATAAGCCACAGGGGCAGCTGTAACACACAGAGGGAAATTGCTGTTGCTTTTCTCTGTTTTGAGAGCAAGCAGATATTGAAGTTATAGTTGGTCCAAACTTTTATATTTAAAGGGGCATTTCTTACTTGCATAGGTGTATTCTTATACCGTATTTTTAAATCTTTGCTCAAACTTAACTTCTTAATGTGTCCTACCTGACCACCTATTTAATATAACATCCTCCCCCGCCAGCCACAACTCCTCCCATCTACCCGTCTTTCGTTTTCCTTTTCCCACTATATGATTTCCTCATTTTTTTTTTTGTTTTAATTTTTGGCTGTCTCTCCACCACACCCCCAAAACAGATACACTGCCCAGTTCCCATGACTGCCTTCAAAGCTGATAACAGTGTTGTCTTAGGTTGGGTTCTCCCAGAAGCAGAGCTGGAGACAAGATTGAAGAAGCAGAATTTTATTTCTCAAGTGCAGGCAGCATCATTAGGGAAGTGGATAAGAAGTGTTGCAAAGAAGGGACGAAGCCAATAAGAGGTATGTTTTTAAGCCAGGTACCATAGCGGCCAACAAAGCTTAAGCCTCTGAGTAACTCTGAGAGACTGTGCAAAACACCTACCTCAGATTTATCCCACCCGAAGGGCCAGGGAGCTGAGATATACATTAGGAAATTTCTGAGAGTCCGTGGTTGAGGCAATGTTAAATCTATTCACTTTGGATTAAGCATAAGCAGTCTGTTCCGGAAAAAGCCTTTAGACATAGAGATACAGATGCTGGTAGTTGGCATTTGGCCAGAGCACAGTGAAAAGTTGCTGCTAGTATTATCCCTGTATGATTAAGAATGCCTAGAAGAATTGAAGTTGCTCAATTGGCACTTTTCACTAGGTGTAGTGTGTTACCTGTGCTGTTTGTGTCAAAACCAAATGTGCATGCCTTTTCCAATAAAAATATACTTTAGTACAGCCCAGTGGTCAGTTCGATGTGTATTTTGAGTAGTTTGCATTTGAAATAAAATAGATGTATAATCATCTGGCTGTGCAATCTCATGTGGTGTTTTCTGAAACTGATTCCGTGTCCTTTGGAGATGCTGGATCAAGACGATTAGAAAGAGTATTTCTGGGTGCAGAGACCAAAATGTGCCGCAATTGATGAGTTAGAAATAAGGACATGCAAATGGCTTCAGAACAATTGAGCATATATCCTCCTTTTCTCCTTTAGGTTCTCTGCTATATATTGAATCCTTTTCTCTGTCACTGCAACCAAATACAGTTGTGTTTGTTTGTAAATGGGTGTAAGCAGGAAACAGTAAGATGCGATCCTTAGATGGCCTTCCTCAAGCATGAAAAAAAGAGTATGTGATTGAACATAAGTAAGGCATTTCAGGACAACTGGACACTAGAATAATAGTTCTAGTTGGGAACAAACCTAAAAATATCTAATCTACTAGTTGCCAGACATGGCTGCACATTAGATTTATGGGAGAAGATTTACATCCTCACCTCGCCCCCTATATTAATGAAATCAGAATGTCTGGCGATGATATCAAATGGTCTATATTTTTAAAAATCCCCAGATGATTCTAATGTACAGCCAGGACTGAGGATTGCTGCCTAATGCAACCCATCACCTTGTAAGTGAGGTAAGTGGGGCTCAGAGAGGTGACTTGACTCTTGATCCATTGTCCCTTCCCTCTTTCAACACCTCTTCGATCCTAATGAATGCAAGTACAATAAGAAATGTCCATGACATGGGTGTACTTACTACATGCTCATTGTTCTCATAGGAAAATAAGTAAAGCGCACTTATACTGCATCTTGCAATAGTCTCTTCTGACGGTGACTCTGAACCATTAACATTGAGTGATATTTATTAATACAATAAGCAAATAATCTCTTTGGGGAGAAGTTTTAACTGAACTCATGGCTTCCAGCAACTGTCTGTTCCTTAGGCAGAGAGGGAACTTACCTGGTGACTGTGCACATATCCCTTGAGAAAAATAAAACAAAATCGTAAGCCCCCCAACTGACTGAATAGATTCCCTCTTGGCCAGGGTGACCCCAGAGAATCCTTAAACACTGAAATCCCAGCTATGACAGAATGGGTCAGACATGCCATGTTATACTCCCTCCTTCCTTAACCACCATTAGGCTTTCTTCACTAAGGCTTAAACAGAATCCATTCCTTTGGAAAGACTTGCTCCATCACTGATTTCGAACAACCTCGTGACTGCTCCTCCCTTTTTGCTTTTTCAGCATAACTGACCAGGATTCCTTCCTGATAAGAGACCAGGGGCAATGGAGTGATTCTGGCCAGTCTGCTGAGTATGCTCAGTGAGGGTTTTCATGTCCTCTGCTTCACCTTTTGACTTTAGAGGGCTGAAAACTCCACCCTGGGATCATGTGAATGCCACCATTTTTTGAACATGGGTCCTATGAAGGGGTATGAAGCTCAGTTGCACATGTGCTTGTTTCTCCTTTTGTAAATATTCATGGTCCCTCCTATAGCTTATTAAATATGTATATTTGGCCATCCTGCTCAGTATAAATTCCTGTTCCTTTATGATTCCATGAAATTGCTTGCTTTCAGCTTCTGGCTGAGTCTATGTTTCCCAGCCTGCAAGATGGCCAGCCTGTAGGCTGCAACCTTTTATATGAAATAAAGCTCTCCTTGCCAAATTTATGAACCATGTCATTCTTCAGTTGACACCCTGAATATGTTGAAAAATAAAATATAAGGTATCCCACAGCCCCATGGTTTGGGGAGGTATGATATAGTGGTAAATGCATTTTCCTTTGCATTATTCAACAAGTATTACAGGTGTATCCTCATGCTATAAAATTAGGGACATTGGCAGTGTTATGCAGGCAGGTAAAAATGATGTATGATGTGGATGCGACTTTATTAGCTAACAGTAATGTATTAATGAGTCCTAGTAGCCTTCAAAAAGAAAAGAGGTAACAATAACTGGAATCCAAGGTAATGGGAAACATTTTGGAAAGCAATTTAAACTTAGTGCACTTGTGCCGTTATTCATTCATTCTTTCATTTCCTTCAGCACACCCTTATTGAACGCCACTGCTCAAAGAGTTTCTGCCGGAAGTTGGCACTCACGGAAACCGGAGGGGAGGTTGGAAAGGCTGGTAGTGTACGTGATAATGCTCCATGGGCTCATGACATTCAAACTGCTTTACCTTTTTCAAAAATGCATGAAACCAGTTGCCCTCGATCAGGAAAATTGCCCTTCCTCCCTTTTATTAAGATGATATGCAACTAACCGGAACCTCAAGCTAAATTTGCTTAAATGATAAGGAAATGCATTACGTGGTATAATAAGAAATCCAGGGCCATGGAGGCTTTAGGATGGGCTGGCTTCAGTCTCTCTCTGAGTTGTCATCTTCAGCACTGGCTTCAGGCTCAGGTTGTTAGCAAGACGGCTGAGAAGTTTCCAGTCTGGACTCCTGAAGCAGTAATGGCCAGAGGAATGAAAGCATGTCACTATTTGGGTAATCTTAGGAATAATGCAATTTTCCCAGAGCCTCCCTATCTCCTTTAGAGGACACTCCCTCACTCTTCGTTATCTGAAGTTGGATTTTGTGTCCATTCCTGAACTGATCACTGGGAGGAAGAACTTGATTAGCTCAAACAAGTGCTTTCCAAACTTTTAGTTTTTCAACTTCATGGCACACATAGAAATCTATAGTGTTTGTCCAGCAGACTGGGATACATATTCACAGCTGCTTATGGCAGCAGTGAATGGTCTGAGACTTTGGACTCTGTGTGATGGTGACAGCCAAGTCTCAGTTAGACTTGAAATGCATTATGCTTCTCTGGTCTGGGAGGGCAGTTCTTCTCAAATTTTAATGTGTGCAAAAATCATGTGACATATCTTGCTTAAATGCAGACTCTGATTGAGTAGGTCTGGGAAAAAGGAGACAACCTGCAATTCTAACCAGCTTCCAGATGAAGACAAAGCTGCTGGTCTGCAGAGTACATCTGAAGATGCTAATGTGTACCAGTTGAGAGACTCTTTCATAGACTAATCACCCAGGGTGGAATACATGTAATGAGTGAACCACAATGTCCACTATGTGCTCTTGATTTTACTCTTTCAACATTTAATTTGATAAAATTATAATTAGATTTAAGTAAAATTTGGAATCTTCTACTGAGATAGAAAAGTTAAGTAATGTTTTTAATCAAATATCAGATATTTTATTTGTGTTAGGAAATGATACTTTCCCTGTGAGGATATGAGTTGCCTTCACCAGGACTCTCCCTTAACACATATGTTTTTGGCAAGGACATCATTCCATTTTGCAAGTTATTTGGTGTAAACAACCTTCCAGTGCCTCACCCCAGTGAGAAATAAGCAAATCCCCAACCAGATAAGCAATACATTCATATACCACATATTTCTCCTTCCATTTTTTCCTGACCTCTGTAGCCATGCAACTCTTTCTTGGGATATTTACAAATGATTTAAAGACATACTAAAAGTATGCACATATTAATAAAGGCTCATAATCACACTAATGAAGGGAGCCAAGTCTAATAATTTCTTGAGATTCCTCCAAAATATTTCAATCTGAGTTAAACTTTCTATAGACTATTCAAAGTTGCAACACCATTTGGTAATGCAAGTAACAATAGCAGCTCGCAAGGATAAAGAGAGCTACATATTATTTTACATTAAAGTAAAATAAGAGCCCATGTTTGTGGAAAAGAAATCCCAGTGAAAATTGTCATTTAAGGAGATTTATGTATTTAGATTTATATATATAGTTGCTCTAAAAGTTTAAAATGCCCCTGAGGATGATATTAATACATTCAGAATAGATGAGGGTGGAATCTTAGAAAATGCAAGGCAACAAGATATCAAACACTTAAAGCTTAGTTTAATATGTACAGACTCACGTAGTTATTTGCCAATGCTCTTCTATTTTTTATGTGTCTGTCCTGGTCTGTCCTCTAAACTTGAGGCTGCTAGAAGACAGGTGACTTATCTTCTGTTGCCATCATCATTCTCCCAAGGGTTGAGCACTCACAACCATATCTGTGAAAGTCCACATGCCCTCCAAACAATAAAAAAGAAAAGGAAAAAGATTTTGTGTGTAGAGGAGCAGAACTTTTGACATAGTAAAAGTATTATATTTTCCTCTCTGAGTAAATCAAGTCATTGGAGAATACCGTTAGCATGTGTATTTAGATGCTTTCTGTTCGGATTCCATTTCTGTCTTACATTAACTGCTCTTTTGGCTTTTTCATGGTATTTACATTACCATCTCTATATCAATCAGAACTAGAAACTAGACAAGCAGAATCAAGCCCTAGGATGTAGAGTAAAAGGAGAAATGTTTGATTCCTTCATTTTGATATATTGGTATGGTTCATTCTTTTCTTTTTGGTGAAGAAGAGATTGGGCTTTTTGTTGACTACTAAAATGCTAACTCTGTATTTTTGTCCATTTTAAAAGAAATGTTGGTTTGCATGTAGTTGACTGAGGACTTGCCTATATGAAACAGAAACAAATGACAAGTTCAACAAAATCAAGTGGAAAGAATCCATGAAAAGGGAACATTTAGTGACCTGAGCATCGACCTATCTGGACATATCTTGAGTCTGTCTCCAGCCCCTTGGGATTATAGGCATTAGAAGCTAAGTCCCTTATGTCTAGGAAACCAAACCAGAAAGATAATTGAGTAAAATACTGAATAATTCTGGGAAGAAAAATTAGTTAACTTAGCTACTTAATTCTAAAAAGGGATAGCAAAGAGCTAAGAAACAGAAACTGAATAGAAACAGCTTTGTGATGTAAAAGTAAAATATGAACATTTTGAATTCAATATGTGATCCTCTTTGCAGGAATTATTGTCTGTCATTTGTAATGCACATGATTCAGAACTACCAAAAAATATTTTCAGGCTTACTGCTTAATTAAAAGTAAGTTATGAGCATTTTTAATCTTTATATAATTTATATCATCTACAAGTCATGGATTCCCCATAATTCTGTTGGCCTTAATCATCAAAAAGTATAGCCATGCTTAAGTCTATGCATCCTTTCTCCTCTCCAGCAGATGTTACAAAAGAAACTATCACAGCTGGGGAAAATTGATATTCGAAAGTACAAAACTTGGCAGTGAAAAGATTAATTTTCTGTATTTAATGCCCTTGATTCTTGAAAACTTTAAACTTTCTTCACAGTAAGGGCAATGGTTTCATTGTCTGGTTGGCAATGGACAGATGATAATGTTCTGCTCTATTTTACTTTATGATGAACCAAAGAGGACTGGTTGTTTCTCTAATGAGTTTGTAAGAGATGCTTCGATGCTGAAACATTAGCTGCATCCTTTGGACTACTATGATGGGGAAGTGAGAAGTAGTTTTAACAACTTGCCAAAATTAACACCATTAGAGTGAATGAAGCACTAAAATATATATACCAGATGTTTCAAATAGTCAGATTTGGGAGAAAACACAATTAATTTACATTTTAGTACTAAGTACAAATTTTAATTTATTCTGATTAACTACTTTATAGCCCATCTACAAGACCATTTGAAGGAGTTATGGAAAGGCTGTAAAAGGAGTCATAATCAAGATATGACACTTTATTGGCATAGAAACAGAAGAGTTTCATGCTCAATGCCCATGTTGCTCAGAAAGGTTCAAGTTTCACTTGCCCAGAACCTATTATTGAATTACAGACCTGGAATCAATATGGGAAGCGGATTAACACACTTAATTACAACTTGTGCCAAAGTGTAATCTCTCCACAGACCAGGTAAATTGTTCTAATTCATATCCACCTACTTTACTATGCTTCCTGAGCAAAAGCACTAACAGATTTCTTGATAAGAATTATTATAAAGGGGACTGGCTAAGTGAAAATTGATAGTTGAGCTCCACAGCTTTCTCATACATGAAAAAACATTTGAAAGTACCAATGCTGTTGAAATAAGGTGTTTAATAGTCCTAATATAATGCCTGGTAGGTAATAATAGGTAGCCATTGCTGTTAACATCATCATTGATCATATTGCCAGTGAGGATGCTGGTAGAAAGGCTTCGGAAACTCCATGATGTTACAAACTTTCTTCAAGTCCAGATATAATCAAGTACCCACTGGCCAGCTCTAGGCTACAGAGAGCATTATTTGGACTGCTCAGTGATTGCTATCAGATGTTAATTTTTTTAATGAAGATTTTAAAATTAGAAACTTTTGCATTAAAATTTGGGTTCCTAATATCACTTTAAAAATCATAATGTCTAGCAAACATCAGCTGAATCTTAGAATGCCTGTTCTCTTTAGACAGAATATACTAGCATAATGGCCATCGTCCTTCCCTCTCCCCACAGTCCTCCCTACATCTAGGCCAAGCATCAATAGCCAGGCTCGTCCCTTAGTATTCGTGATCTGAGGACAGAATCCAAATACTTACCCACATTTCAAATGTTTAATTAATTAAGTTATAAAACAAGCCAACAAACTGTTACATGTTTTATCTTCCTAACTTGACAAATATAACAACCCAGAAGGCTAAGTTCAAATCTGGGATTCTCAAAGTTCTGGCTTGGCATGTGGTGCCACAGGAAGTGCCCATCTTCAGCCTGTGGTTTGTGCTCCTGCTCTTCCATCCCCTACTCTGTCCCAAAAGCCCTAGTCTACTTGCACGAGCTCTGTCCACTGCGAACACACAACCCTATGCCTGCCCCTGAAGCCTGGGTATAATCACGTGGGGGGGTTACAGCACCACACTCAGGAGGACAAACCTAGGGAAGACACACAAGTCATAGAAGCAGCTCAAACCCATTTGGCAGAGAATTCTGGGGCCCAGGGTTTGTGTGGTCTGGGAACAGGCTGCCTGCGGCATGTCCCCTGGACTCTGCAGGTTCTTCACCCATGGGGAGAAGTGCAGCTGGAGAAGGGACGACAGAAAGACTTCCTCTGCGCTCAGGGGAAAAGCCAGAAGGCAGTATTGTTGGTGACCATTTATAATAAGACATGTTCTATTGCTTTCTTATGGTAGCTTTAAGAGGAAGACATTATTCTTGGAATCCAAGTTTCTATCAAAAATGAAAGAAAGGAAAATAATGTGGAGAGTTTCAAGAAAGTGGAAAGGACTTAGTTCTCAGCATTATTTTACTCTTTTATGTCATCTACCTAGAATCTGCAGGTGTTTGAGTTTAAGGCCCTTGGTTTAGTCATCTTCCTCCTGTCCATATAGTCATGCCTTGTTTATGGTTATAGAGTAACTGCTCATGAATATTAATTGCTTGCTTTAATGATAGAGTGTAAAATTTGTCCGTCACTTATTAAATTATTCCAGTTGAAATAGAAAAAAAAAAATTCATCTAAAAGCCTTTTAGGAAAATGCCCTTAAAATAACAATCCTTAAACCTTGTAGTTTCAGGATCCT